TTTGCGATTGTTGCTTTATTAGTGTGATACGGATAGGGGCATCGTTCTTTGGTTTTATGAGAATGTACGATAATCATGCTTGAAAAAAGTCAAGGAAGTATTTGTTTATGCCATGTTCAGATTAGGGAATTTAAATGTATTATTAAAAGTTCAAAAAGTATCTATAAAGTTTTTACGAAAAATGAACGTATAAAACGATATTTAAAGAAAGCCGATTGTCTAGGGGCCACCCTAACCTGCTTGTTTAAAATAATCATAACTCATGAACCATAAGAGATATAAATTGGATGTCTTTAGCAAAGATACTTCAAATTGATTGTTCTACAACTTTTTAGAACATTGCAAATTTAGTTAATAAAAAATCTACACATGTTCGTCACTGACAGCGTTGTCATTGACAATTGGCATGGTTTGGCTTGATGATGACTGTTAGCTCAAATGAGTGACCAAAGCAGAATTGTCAATATCACTGTGTATTGTCAACATTTTACAGCACTGTTTCTGTCTGTCTGTCTGACCATTATAGACTCGGAAATTACTGAACCGATTTTTGGGGCCGGGAAAGGTTCTTGTGATGGTTCGAGACCCCTCCCCTGTAAGCACAAACACGTCATTCTTTTTCAAGAACGGCCTACTTTCACCGATTTTTTTTTAGTTCAAATGTTATCGGGCCAAAAGGGACTCTAGACCAAGGGGTATTCAACTCTGTACAACTTAATCCATGCCGAGTGATTGAGCTGTGCCAAGCGCTGTGCCGAACAAGGTTTCAATCAAAGTGTGCCCTATCAATGTGTCGCTATTTCATGAGTTTGGTAACCCCGAGAGTTATGACTGTTTACATTCTTAATTTTTCTGATGGATTAAGGCAAGCATTCAGCTTCTCTTCATTCTAATAAGAGCGTTTGCAGATCGGGAGGTGGAAGCGGAAGTGGAAGCCATCAAATCTGTACGAAGTTCAACCTGTAACGAAGGCATGGATGAAATTTGCCACCTGCTCCCTGTCAAATTCTTCCCGACTATAGTAACCCAGAACTTTGATGGGCGAGAATTCAATCCCACCCTAGGAGCAACTTCCTCGTACCAGTTTTTAATAAAGCCTCAAATCAAATTTTCAGTAATGAGCAAGGCCTTACAGTTCAACGATCGGTAGGCCATTGGTGACGGAGATGTGCTTGATGTGGATATCCCATAGAAGCCCATATCAATTGAGACCAATGACTGGTAAGAATATACTAGGGAAAACGCAGGGGAAAATGTTAAAAATTTCCATCCCGGATGATCCTTGCCAAGACTAATATACGAATCTTGCTGCCGTCTATGCTAAGCTGTTTTTATTGATTGATTATTCTGCATAACAAACTTGTAAATGTACCTAAACTCTCGCAGAAAATCATGCTCTGATCCAGTGGCGTCCCGTAGCCTCACTTTTTACCTGTGCACCAACTTTCAAAACCAGATTTAATGCCATATTCATACTCGAATCGGTTGAAAAATGCAATTAATCGTCTAGTTTACTCGATATATATCCATTGCAAGCAATATTTTGATAATTGTTTATGTTTTGAGAGCTGGTGTACAGGTAGATTTAGGTTAAGGAAACGCCACTGCTCTGATCCTTCGTTGTACGCTTCGAGGGACAAAGTATTTAGCAAAAATGCATTACCCAGCCTTTCCTACTCAATTCCTCGATGATACGACAACAGACTTCTTAAAAATTTCCTCCACAGGCGGCTTAATTTTTATTTGCGTCCCAACTGCGAACGTGCATAAACTAACGTTCAATGTCTCCAGGTTTGTTTTTGATTTTCATGATCACGGGATCCAACCAATTTGTACCATAGGTAGTTTTTGACCATTGGATGCAACCCACTGTAGCTGTTTTGACTGCCGTATCGACAAAACCCTCTCGACCGGCCATGATGTGGATGAACTGGATTGAAGTCAAGCCCAAATAGAAGCTGTAGTGGATGAAATCAAGAGCCACAGGGATTTTTACTGTGAATCGGATTGAGTTTTGCTAGATTTAAAGCGATTCACGGTTCAGAAAATACATCAAGATTGTTTCGAGCGATCCTCGAAACTGGTTTATCGTTCTTAAATTCTTGATTAAATCGTTATTTTACTAGTTTTGTGTATGACAACAAATTCTCTCACTAGCTCCACTTTTGAGTAAACAAAGTATTCAACCGAGTAGTCAACCTTAACAACGATTTGCAAAACGTCTACAATTGTTTGTGTCCTACTTGTCAAAATGGCTCTATCCTGCGGAACAGTGTGCCATGCTGTGCTTCGGCACAGTGTGCAGAGTTGATTACCCCTTACACTAGACCGAATTTTATCTTTGTTTTTTTTTTTTTTTTTAATCTTGAACTTGCTACAAATGAGATCTTGGGAAAATTGTTGCGGAACGAGAAAATGTTAAGTAACACTCATAACACTCCGTGGTCTATACTGATAGGAATTATAAAAAAAATTGGATTTAAGAAAATTTTCATGATTATGAGTCTTTGACATTTGTTTTCATTTAGAGTCTTGGACTAGCAATTTGTTCGAGATTTGTGACTAAAAAAAATGTGCATGATCCTAGACTTTAAAAAACGGAATAATTCTGAAACTGACAGCGGCGCCGGTGGTGTAGTGGTAAGCGTGATTACCTCTCACCCCAGCAGGCCTTGGTTCAATCCGAGTCAGCGCCGCCGGGATGTTCTGACTGTTCTGCCCAGTTAACGAACAAGTACTGTACCTACTTCTCTCCCTTCCGCTCTCAGGATTCGACGATTCATTGTCTCTTGTTGTGTGTTCTTCTTAAACTGAGCAATATTCAATACAGCAAAACATCTCCGCAATGACATATTCTTTCGGCGCAGATGATGTGCGGTAATCGAAAGTTAAGAATGTCCCACAACATTTACAATAATATTCTAGCCAATTTCCGTGCACATATTGGACTGCAAAAACCGAACGTATGAACGAATAGGGTGCCCATAACGCATTTTAAGCAAACGTCGCAAGTTTTCAAGGGTGTTTTAAATGATTAATTACAAAGAAACCATACAACTTACAAGATTACTATTAAAGGCACAGATCTAGGATACTGAATGAAGAATGTTTTGTAGAACAAATAAATTAACAGTAATGAAAATTTTCACTAAAATGTACGAAATTTCATGTCAAATTGAACATAAACTTTATCAAGTGATGAGCAAACACATTTTAGACTGCGCATTATGTGTAATGAATCTAATCATTTAGTATATACTCGATATATTTGAGTTTAACTGAAATCCTGCAAGAAACCAGAGTAAAAAATGTCACATATGGTTAGGTTACTTTATTGAAGAGACTTTCAGCCACTGGCACATATAATTATGTTAAGCTTTCCCCACACAGCTTCAATAAATATTCATCAATCTACAGTAATTAAATCCGCTTTTGATGAAATTTGCACAATCACAATAACGATGCGCGTACCCCTCGAGAAATTGTCATGTGTCAGTTGACCCAACTAGCGAATCGAATTCGTTAGTTGGGTCGAGGTGGTGGCCCAACCAGTTAATTTTCACTGTATCGGTTTCAAGGTTTTAACGATGCTTTGTATGTTTTGGCAATTCATTCACTAACAATGTCAAACATATTTCTGTCAATATCGCAATATGACAAAAGCATTCAAATGTTCATTGATTTTTTTTTCTTTATTTCCCATCACTCGGCTTCATGGAATAAACTCGACTTTAGGGTTAAGGTACAGGACGTTAAGTGTTGTGATTTAAATAGAACCAATTGACATAGACGTAAACATATACATATGTAGGTACCTACTCATATTCTCAACAAATGTTTCTACCAAGCACGTGTACAAAGCGGACTATAAGGAGGTTTAATGTGTAATGCCGTTATGCATCTTCTCTTTTGTGTGCTTTGTAGCTTTTTTTTTGCAGCTCAATAGCTGAAAAAAGGTGGTAAACAGTATAGGTAATAGGTACCTGAATGTTTGTGAATGACCAACATGAGCACCGTTCACTCAAGGACGACCAAATTAGTCAAATAAGGAATATTTCCATTTCCCTTTAGGAACAACTAAACAGGTACTTTTTACTTGGTTCAATGCTTTAAGAATGACTCATTGAAAGAAGTTTCGCATGTAAATTAATTCTTCATACTACCAGGTAGAATAAGGTTAATCGATTCGAATTTCAGCAAACGAAGGAAAGCCTTTGTTGTTGAGCTTCCTCTCAGCAGTGAAGTAAGCCAGTCTGTTGCGAAATCTGAAGATAACCAGGCACACTCAAACATACAACCACCACTTCTCTTTTATCGGTCGGTCGATCGTCGGTGGCGTCGTTCATACACCCCCTTCACGTCGACGAGTTTATGCAGGGCGATACGACATCTATTCGTCAGCTGGGTTTTGTTGTTTTGCTGTGCATATGTCTGAGGGTCACTTTTATTTGTTTTTCACTCTCTATTACTAGTGAACATCAGGCGTTTGCGAATCGAACAACGCAGAAAAACAGGGAAGTAAACATGGCAAAACAACGGGCGACGATACAACAAACACAGCCATACGGAACTGATGCTGTTCTGTTGAATGTAAACCGCGTATAATTATACCGATTCTGTGAGTCACAATGAACCGAGCAAGTCGTACGACACAGCAAGACAGTGTATAATATTTCATGACACTGATGCTGCTTTCTCAAGCGATAAGATTACTTTTGCAGGTCCAATTTGGAACTGTCTAAAATTGATTGCGTGACCCAGAATTCACGGTTCTGACCAGTTGAACTGCGTCATTGAACTTAATGCCTTGTTTACTCTTCCACTTACTTCTTATTTTCGTCTTTCCAACCCTCCTGTTACTAGACAAATCACGCACCGCTTAGTGGGACGTGTTTGGTTTATTAATGCGCATTTCGGCAGCACAAAAAATTAGCCTAGCGCAATCGGATAGGAAATGGATGAATATGCTTATTGAGCTGCGAATACTTCCTAAAACTCACCTTGAATGCGGTCCATTCTTCCTTAACCAGTTCGTACAGTGAGACGGCATTAGCTGCTGCCACAAAGGCCACCAGGAGTACGAGAATCTTCATTTTGTTTCGGATGTTTCTTGCGGTACTTTATTGTCCACTTATTCCTGTGGGATGACAAAGGGGAAACCCGATATACCGATACATTAGTATTGGTTAAACCAGCAAAGTATGCCAATTATTGTTGCTAATTATTTGTACCAATTTCATAACTTAAACATGCTTCCAACTACTCACCAGTAATATCAGTCTATGAGTATGAAATAACACTTAAAAACTGACTAATAATAACACTTTACACTTACGCTGCAGAAAGCAATAGAAAAACACTACCGTACTTGTCACTGTTCGGCGTAGAATGAGTTAACTTGAAGTGAGTGACGCGTTTTAAAGGGAGCCTCTCTCGGTTTGGTGCTGTTTTCATTTTCTCTTGTTTACGATTTTCCGTTCGGTTGGCTCTCTTGGCTTGAGAGAATCAAGCGCGTTTCTCTTCTCTCTGAGCGTAACAGTGTATATTTGTAGGAGATAATGGGGAACCCAAGAGACTATGCACTCCATTTGCAGTTTCCCGTCACTAGATGTCTTGTTCGTTGGACGATTCCATAGTTTATTGAATCATTTATTCACTTTCGGATTTTTAATAAAAAACCGTAGGAATAATTAGATGACTAGTGTTCCACATTACCACAAACTGGGATCCATCGGGGCTAATTCATATGAAATTAATACCATCCCGCATAAATGCGAACCATAAATTGACCTTACCTAAAATGGTTAAAAATTGTTTATAATCCCTGCTAAACTTTAACTGAAATGGTTATGGAACTTTACATGAACGTTTAATGATAAAGTTTCAACCTTATGTATTATGGTTTTTTGGAACTGGACCTTACAAATAATGGGTTGTTAAGAACCATTACCATTCCAAATTCTTGTTTTCTCCATACATTTTCAGAAAGAGAACTATATAAGAACGTTTTTACTTATGATTTGAGAACATTAATGGTAATGGTTATGGTAGTCAGTAAGGTCCATTAATGGTTTTGTATTATCGCTCAACTTTACGTGGAATATATCGTGAATTGGTAATCAGTAAATTACAGGCAACCAATTCGCGATATATTCCACATAAAGTTGATCGATGTTACAAAACCATTCGTGGACCTTACTGACTACCATAACCATTACCATTAAAGTTCTCAAACCATAAGTTAAAAGGTTCTAATATAGTTCTCTTTCCGAAAATGTATGGAGAAAACAAGAATTTGGAACGGTAATGGTTCTTAACAACCCATTATTTGTAAGGTCCAGTTCCAAAAAACCATAATACATAAGGTTGAAACTTTATCATTAAACGTTCATGTAAAGTTCCATAACCATTTCAGTTAAAGTTTAGCAGGGATTATATACAATTTTTAACCATTTTAGGTAAGGTCAATTTATGGTTCGCGTTTATGCGGGATTCGAGTTGTTTTTCGGAACGATTCCAATACTTTTCACTCAACCTCAGCTCCCGTATACTGGTGCCCAGTTCGTAATTATTATTTGAGCAACTTCAGCTGTCAAAACTGATATTCCTCTCAGAGCCGCCAGAAACAGCAAAATCTGCACACCGTGCACCTTTCGATCGAAAACGGGAGGAAAGACCTAATCTGCGATGGCCACTCCGGAACAGATCCAACAGGAAAAGGCAGTCCGCCGGGCAGCTATCCGTAACGAGTACTGGCGGACGATGACCAACCCTCACGGTCATCTGCATGGCGAAAGCGGCGGAGTGGTAAGTTTCCTCTCCGTACTGGTTATGTCATCGATCTACCTTTCCCAAGCGAATCAAAACAAAAATTCTACAATATTCCAACCCAATGTCTCTCCGTAGTTCGATACCGGTCTGGCGCGCTTCCAAGCCATGCGAGTCAATCACTTCGAGCACTTCAAGCCATCGGGACGCACGCTGAAGATCGGTATGTTCGGCACAGTGATTCCGATTGTGCTTTACGCACTGATGTTGAAGAAAGAACGTGATGGACGAGAGGAGCAATACCGTACCGGACAAGTTGCCTACAGGGATCGTCGGTTCAAGTTCATCTAAATCAATATTTACTTCGATCCCGGAACAGTAGAGGGCGATTTCGGAAAAGAGAGGGAACGCTAGGAAACGATTTAATTGGCATAATAAATAGATCACTTGTTTTATTTTTCCTCCAGCTGTTTGTCTCTGCTGATAACATGATCTTCGAACTTGACCATATATGTGGTTCCTTTGTGCCAGTGGGCCGATACTTGGCATGTCTGTAAAAGAAAACATAATTGTTGATACTACTAGGAAGTGGTTTATAGCCTCCATATAACATTAAGCATAAATTAACTGCTGGATCAGGCTTAGAAAAGTATAACAGTAGAGTGGTTTCTGACAATATGTAGTAAACATCAAACTGTAACACGTTATATTAAGGATGTGGTCTGACCAAGGCATAAGCAGGGTGGCAACTACTGGGAATTCCTAAAGACCTGGAATTTTGCTACCAGTGTTTTATAAAATAGTTTTAAAAATTCTGGGATCATCGATCTGTGTGCTGTTTTTGAATAAATCATCTGAACATAGTACCAAATCGATAAGATAAGAAACTTCATAATTACTTCAGTTTGGAATCTGACTTGCATTGGAACACCGGCAATATTAGCAGAAAAAGCAATTTCTGGCATTTAATTCTATGGTTTGATCAGCTATAAAATTTTTTAAAGACATTCTAGCACCATACATCCTTCAGCAAAGATGTTAATCACTTCCTGGACTATATTTGTACATGGTTAATTACATAATTCAAGCAAAATTATGGTTTCTATAGGGGTAACACGTATTCAGGCCTATTTTGCGTTGCATGGTGACTCTGACTAATTCGCTTGGACAAAAAATCTGCCAGGGTTCGTTAAATATTGTAATTTATCTTGAAATTTATATAAAACAGCGAAAAAGGTTATCTTCCATTTAATTTCACTTAATTAATGGCCATAATGTCCACTTAATTAATATTCATGACAGATACGTATTTCGACTACAATGTGCAGTCGTCATCAGTGTCATTCCCACTAAAGAACTTATCAAAATCTAACCCCCTTAAGTATTCATTCCCTAGGTAAAAATGTCAAGAATACAGGTATAAAAACTGAAACTACAACGTGTAGAATCGGAACCTACTTAACTAATAATAACCATAGATTTAAGTAAAGTAAAGGAGAAAAATCTATTCAAAACTCTAATAAGGAAATATTCCCAAAGGCTTGGTAGCCATCACAATGAAGTAATGAATTTTTACCTATGGGATGAATACTTAAGGGGGTTAGGTTTTGATAAGTTCTTTAGTGGGAATGACACTGATGAAGACTGCACATTGTAGTCGAAATACGTATCTGTCATGGTTACCATCATTAATTGAGTGGAATTAAATGGAAGATAACCTTTTTTGCTGTTTTATTTAAGCATTCAGCTAACAACCCAATTTAATTACTTCACTTGAAATGTATGTTCTCAAATTTATCCGTTTGTCATCTGCGAGAACTTGAAACTATAAACAAAAAAAAATCATAACTGCAGGGTTGCCAAACTCATGGAAAACTAAGACTGATACTTTGATTGCCATACTTCGGCACGTTCGGCACAACGCTTGACTCAGCTTTCAGAACAGATTGAGATGTGCAGAGTAGAACAATTCAAAATGAAAGGATGGGAGTAGGTGCTGATAAATCCCTTTAAAATTTGTGAGATATTATTAGTAATAACGACAAACAAATATGACTCAATGCCATTATCGTGAATGTCACAACTTCAAACTTCCTTTTTTTATTCTTCAAACGCCGTTAGCCAGAATATAACACTAGTATGTAATTCATTAGGGGAAAAGTTGGTTTCGACTATAGCTTAACCTATTATCGTTAGGGGGATAAACAACGTCCTTGAGAGCTCAATTTTGGCATGTGGATACATTGTGTTTCAGAGCATGTATTGGCCAAATTTGAGTGCTCTAGGACTTTGTTTATCCCCTGACGATAATAGGTTAAGGTATTGTCGAAACCAACATTTCCCCTACCTAAAATGACCCATACCCGTATCTATTCCCAAAAGATGTAAATTTTCCTGAATATGTTTACTATTTGTTATTTATAAAGAAAGTTTGTTTTGAAGCTTTCCCAAATACAATTTGTACGGTTAAATTGCTTAACGACGTGTTCAGGGTACCATCTGTGGTAACTCTCCATCTTTATCCACTTGCGTCCGTTCGCAGCAAGAGTCGTCGAATCAATCCTCTTCGTTGCTAATCAATCCCCTCGTCACGTCCAATTTCTATCTCAACACACTCACACAGTTAATTCAGTTCTCAGGCATACAGCCAAATCCTACTTACACTACTACTACTACTACTACTACTACTACAAATGTAACTTACACGATGTCACTTTCCATTCGCGTGACGAAGCAAGAAATAAACTCGCACTAACACCAATACACACTCTGCCTCTGTTCGCCACTCAAGCAAAGGGGAAGAGAAAGAACCTGGGGGGGGACGTGCTGTCAAATCAGCCTACTGATCATTCTTGTATGAAACTGGTTCCAAACGTAAACAAACGCTGTATGTTTCTTATGGCGTGTTTACGTTTGGAACCAGTTATGCGAGGCATGCGAGGTAGGCGACGATTGTTCGTATTTGACAGCCACCTCCCCCCCTTGGAAAGAACTGGACTCGTTTCGACTTTTCACCTTGGTGGGTTCCACTCAATGAGGTTAATATAGAGGTATGGTTAAGTATTAACCCGGAGGCTGAAAATAGCCCAAGTTTCTTTCAACATGCTATATTTTATTCTCACCCGTTCATTTAGTTATAATAAGTTTTAATTACGGCACCTCATCTCATCTCCCACATTTTTCCTCTTGTCTACCATTAACAATAAATGTTATAAATATATTGGTCGTTGAATCGCGTTGGCTTTCGCAAGTTGTTTCGCTGACGTAGGATCCGCATTCCAAGGTCTGTTGCAGGCAGAGATGACGAATCAAGTTCGGAGTTATCAGTTTCCGGCAGAATTAGTAAGCCTTCCTCGTTATCGGGCTGCACGTTGTCATCAGGTTCCTCTAACACCATCGGTTCTTGATGGACGGCAGGAGCTCGTGTTATGTCCCGGACATTCCTTGAATACTGTATACCGCGCTTACTGATCAAAACGACTTTCGCACCTTCCCTAGCAATGACCGTAAATCGTTCTGAGGAAAACGTTGGATCTACTTTAGATTGTCTCTGCTGAGCCATTAGAACGACGTCCCCGATGCCAATGTCGGATTCTTTGGCACCATGTGCTGCATCTGCATACCGGTTACTTACTAGTTTGGCTTCACTATCCAGCTCTCTTAGTTCCGTCCGGTCAAATGCCTTGAAAGAGGATTCGCTCCAAAGACTCGGGAATGTCCCTCTATACTTCCACCCTACTAACATCTCGAAGGGTGTAACGCCCAAGCGCGAATCGGGAACCAGAGTATTGTGCTTATGTACGTAACACTGCAGGGCGTTTATCCATTATCCGTTTATATCTCTAGGAAACCAGCTGGTTGTAAGGTGCGATAAAATTAGGGACTTAGGAGTAATTCTTGACTCGAAGTTGACATTTGTAGATCATGTGAATACCACAATTCACAAAGCAAATAATATGTTGGGATTCATAAAAAGATTTAGTTATCATTTTAAAGACCCATATACCATCAAAACACTTTATATAGCTTACGTGAGATCAATTCTCGAATACTGCAGTGTGGTTTGGGCTCCATACCATGAAACTTATATAAATCGTATGGAATCAGTTCAAAAACAGTTTTTGTTATTTGCTCTTAGGAAACTAGGCTGGACCTCTTTTCCCCTTCCTTCTTATGAGTCCCGTTGCATGTTGATAAACATTGAAACACTTAAGAAACGAAGAGAAATTTCCATGATTTCCTTTGTCAATGATATTATCTCACAACGCGTAAATTCAGAAAAAATATTAGCAAGATTAAATTTTTACGTACCATCACGCATGTTAAGAACTCGAAATGTATTTCAACTGTCACCTCACAGAACGAATTATGGTAAAAATGGACCAATTAATAGAATGATGAGAGTGTATAATAATTATTGTGAGCATATAGATCTAACGATGTCTAAAGATACAGTAAGGAGAACACTAACTGCTAGGATTTCATCTCGTTAAGTTTAAAACAATTTTTATTTTTTAGATATTTGTATATGCAGTCTACATTTGCTGACAATTTCAAATAAAACGTATGTTTTAAAATAGCATGTAAGGCAACAGCACTATTGTAAAACGGTCTACACTGATTGACGACAAATAAATAAATAAAATAAATTCTTACCTTCAATTTTCGAAGCAGCAACCGCCTTAATAATACCCTGGTTCTGGCGTTCAACCGCACCATTGGTCTGTGGGCAAAGGGGAATTGATTTCCGAATTTTGACCCCTTTGTTCTCCCAACAAGAAATGAACGCTGAACTTTTAAACGGAGGCCCATTGTCGCTTTGGATCATGGTTGGGCATCCCCATGTTTGAAACACTTGATTCAAGGCTGCGTTGGTACTATCGGCATCCGTGCGCTTCATTTCTATCACTGAGAGGTACCGGGAGTATGTGTCGACGACCACTAAAAATTCACCACTTCCGAACCCAGGAATGCAGAGAAAATCGATTTGAATAACTTCCCACGGACCATCGGGAATCTCGCGACTGGATAACGGTACAGGAGGATTCTTTCGTCGCAAAACTGCACACGTCGCACAGTTTTTAACAAACTGAACAACCTCCTTTGCCATTCCCGGCCACCAGAAAAATTCTCGCATGATTCTCTTCATTGCAGTTTCACCCACGTGTCCTCCATGAGCTGACGTTAGAGCTTTGGTCCTGAGATCTCTGGGGAGTACTGCTCTATCATCTTTGAAGACCAAGTGTCCGAGAAAGTGTAGACTCTTCTTTTGCGCTTCGAACTTGCGCAGAATCTCAGGCCATCGGTTTGAGTGTACCGCCGTCCTTACACCTAGCAGTTCATCATCTTGCGCGGTAATCCTTTCGATCTCCTCCCAAGTTATCTCCATACAACCCGAGTCTAGAGTGTACAGAAAGTTAGTGGTATCCTCTTCTTCGAACGGAACGGCTTCTTGGGTCTCTCTTATCAACCGTGACAGCGCGTCAGCCACATTTTGGTCACCTGGGACCCTTTCTATGGTAAAATCGTAAGGCTGAAGTCGTAAGGCCCA